CTAACAAAGTTTTGTTCAGAAATTAGCCAATTGACGAAGCAAAAGAAGCTGGTATTTATTTAAAAAATAATTCTAATTAATTCTACGAATAAAGGATGAAGTGATGATAGGGGCAACTGGGTATCTCGATTCAAAGCATCAACACATAAACGCATGAAAGGAATAAACTTCCACTCTTTCATATATAACTTTGAATGAATAATAAACGTTTCGTATTAATATGGAATTAAATCAATTGATACTTAAATACATAACAACTAAAACAGAGTAAACGTCAGAATTAAATATAACCTTCTATCATCATGTAACTATACTCGATCCCAAACCTTTAATAATCATTTTATGACAATAAGAAATTTTACCTACTCAAATTGAATTTGAGATATTAAAAATAAATGTACCATTAGTTTAAAAGAAATTTCGAGAAAAGTAAACGTTCCTTCTCTTATATTTATTATTAATAATCAATTGTTCAACTAGTCCCTTGTCCTGTACGTATAGGAAATGTACCAAGCCCTCAGTATGCGTGAATTATTATTTAATTTATTTTAAGTTAAAACCTTTTTTTACAATGTTATCTTACAATGTCGCTTTTTACATTCGAAATAATATCGCCACGAAACGCCTATCGCAACGTCATTTTATATTCTCGGCTATCGATACTCGATATCTCGGCTTTCACCTCGCATCCCGGCCGCCGCCATGTTTTTCCGCCCTTAGAAATCATTATATGTATGCGCCTCTCTGCGTGTATTTATGTTTTATTCCTGTGTATTCGCACGCACGCGCGCGGGCGCGCGCGTGTGTGTGTGTGTATTTTTCTTGTTTTTATACAGTTTATACGCTACTCCCTAATAATACTATTATTAGAATAACCTTCTCTCTCTCTCTCTCTCTCCCTCCCTCCCGCTCCCTCGATTTCCTCACTTCGTCGCAACACCTTCGAAGATTTTCCAATCGCGAGAAAGGGGGCGTGGCGTTTCGCGGATTTCGCTCACGGTCACCCTTCCCGTTCCTTTTCGCTTTTCAGTCTTTGTTTTTGGAAAATCACGACGTCACTTATTCCCCCCTCCCACCCCCCGCCCCGCTCCACCTCACTCCTCCACCCTTTTCACGATTTTTCCGGTGCATCGCGCGATTGGCTCGAACAACGATAGAAAGACAATCCCCGTCATTGAACTCCTGCATTGGAAATTCCGTGGCATTATTTTCATTCTGTTAGAGTCGATAGAGCAATGTAATTTTCGTTTTAACCCAAAATTTCTGCGCGGCGTAGAATATTTTGATTTGATGTTGAGAATGTAAGATGGTTTCACAAGGAAGAAATTGTTGGTGAAAATGCAGCGAGAAAATAGTCGTAATGGTGACGATTGGTGGATAGGCAAACGAAAATTGGATCGAGTGAAATTAAAGGAGAGAAATTAAAGGTAGAAAAATTGTCCACCAGGAAAATCGTTTTCCTTGTTACTGATACGTAAGTTTGTCATTAGTAGAAATTTTCTCGCGATGGAAATGACACCTTTCACCGGTTAAGAATTTCATTTTCATTTGCGAAGATAAGACTTTTTCCAGAATGAGAATTTTCCAACAATGGAAGTGGTACTTTATATCTATGGAAAGTCTCATTTTCGTTCAATGGAAATTAAACAATGGAAGATGTCACCAATGTAAATAATATGTATATTATATAGATATTACTACTACGATTACTAACACTTTCCAACTACAATAAAAAGCATTCTCAATTTTCCCAATTCGTCCAATTTTCCAAATTTTTCCAGATTTTCCTATTTATCCCAATTCGTCCAATTCTCCAAATTCTTCCAGATTTTCCTGTTTTCCCATTTTCCTAATTTCCCAGGTCCTCCTGTTTTCCCATTTTCCTAATTTTTCAAATTTCCCAGGTTTTCTTGTTTTCCAAGTGTCTCAAGTTTTCCCAATTCGCCCAATTTTTCAAACTCTCCGAGGTTTTCCTGTTTTCCCATTCTCCAACTTTCCCAGGTCTTCCTGTTTTCCAAGTTTCCCCAATTTTCCTGTTTTTCTATTTTCCAAATTTCCCAGGTTTACTTGTTTTTCAAGTATCCCAAGTTTTCCCAGTTCGTCCAGTGTTCCAAATTTTTCCAGGTTTTCCTGTTTCCCATTTTCCAAATTTCCCCGCATTTCCCTGTTTTCCCATTTCCCCAATTTATCCAATTTCCCAGGGTTTTTTGTTTTCCAAATTTTCTTAAGTTTTCCCAATTCGTCCAATTTTTTCCAAAATTTTCCAGATTTTCCAGATTTTCCTGTTCTCCCGTTTTCCTAATTTTCCAAACTTCCCAGGTTTTCCCAATTTTCCTTCTAATCAGCTCCAAATCACCATTCCAGATTTTCCAGATTTTCCTGTTTTCCCGTTTTCCTAATTTTCCAAACTTCCCAGGTTTTCCCAATTTTCCTTCTAATCAGCTCCAAAGCACCATTCCAGATTTTCCAGATTTTCCAGATTTTCCTGTTTTCCCGTTTTTCTAATTTTCCAAACTTCCCAGGTTTTCCCAATTTTCCTTCTAATCAGCTTCAAAGCACCATTCCAGATTTTCCAGATTTTCCAGATTTTCCTGTTTTCCCGTTTTCCTAATTTTCCAAACGTCCCAGGTTTTCCCAATTTTCCTTCTAATCAGCTCCAAAGCACCGTATCGGACCTACCCGATTTTTATCGTGCTCCAATGCAAGAGATCGAATCGTAAACAAGTGGATCGCGTCGTTCGATGATCGCTGATCGAGCCAATTCTTCGTTAAGACGTTCAAACGCTCGACAAAAAGAAAGGATCACAATATGTGGTCTCGACTCGTGGTCAACGATTGCGCCCGAGTTCCCCCGCGATTAATTAATTAATTAGAACGATTAATGAATGGAAATCGGCGTTCGGCCGATCGGCGACGACGATAATAGTATGTAATAAGAATAATAACGATAATCGTCATTTACGGCTATTAACCTTTTCGCTCGTGATAAATCGTTTTAATTACCATCGCTTGACTATCTAGATGCAAATCTTACGATGCGCAATTAACCGCTAATTTATGCACAATCACTTTTTCACCTCCTCTCTTTCTCCCTCTCGTTTGCTCATTCTCACTCGCTCGCTCGTTCGTTCACTCAATATTATTATATTTATAATATTTATAATATTTATATTCATATATTTATATCCATTTGTATATATATATATATATATATTTCGATTTGTTTATTTATATATTTATATACTATCATTACAATAACGGTACACAATCTCGAAGATACAAAATTTACAACGTGATCTCCTCGCCATATTTTTTTTCTTTTTTTTTTTTTGTTTAATTTCTCTTTATGCTTTTTTAGTATTTTTTTTTTTTCACATTTCTGGATCGCTCCTTCTCGCGTGTCCTGTCCTTGTCGTCTCATGATTCCTATTATTACGTCGAAGAATCGTTTTTAATTTCCAACGATCGATACGTTTTTCTTTTCCTTTTTTTTTTTCTATTTTTCTTTTTTGTTGATACCTAGACAGGACGATCGACTCTCGATCTGGATCACCGGAAATTCCATAATTAATGTACGGATTTACGCTAAGTGGTTTACGATTACCCAGTAGTTCTCTTGCTTGCTTGCTCTGCTATCGCTAACCGGTACGACACACGATCCGGTGGACCATTGGACGCCATTTTTTTCCCCTCGTTCTAATATATATGATTACGGAAAGAAACTATAAAAAATAAAGGTTAACGAGATTTAAATAACATTCAAAGCAAAAGAAGGTCAGAACGTGGAATAAATCTTTAAATAATTATTTGAAACCGTTGGTTCTTGAAAATGTACTGTTCGCGAGCGAAAAGAATGCCACTCGCCACGCCCAACGTGACCCCTACGGCGGCCATTGTTGAAAACAGTAAATTCAAGGACCAATGTTCATTAAGAACTCTGCCTTGAACGATTCTTGTAAATTCTTTTAATAATAATTTAATAATCTCAAAATAAAACTCAGAAATATATTTATTGTGAAACGTACAAATGTTTCATTTTTAGAGTATTCAACGTGGAAAAGTTTCGTCGAGAAATGGATGAAAACGTGTCGCCCAATCGTCCACAGGAGGAATAAATTCTCGTTAATAAAAAGATTTTTAAAATTGCACGTCTCTCGATTCTCGTCAAATACACACTTAAACGCTACGACGTTCGCAGGCCCTACGAAGATCGTTTCCGAATGGCGACGGTTTCCCTTTGTTTTCCACGGTTTAACACGTCGATCGCTGCACCATTTATATACAATAACCAATAGGGCATTTTCACTGAGAAACTCAATAAATTATGAGATGAATAAAATGAGACGAATAGAAGAAATTTGGATTTGTGGTAGATCAGGTATATCGGGGTCGAGAAAGAATTAGCGAAGACTTTTTGTTGAAATAACTGCCTCGAAAGTAGTAGGACTTTAGTGACAGATAGAATGGTTAAAAATTTAATTCCATACGTGCCATTTCTCATCCTTCAATCCATTTTCAGTTTCCTATTTTCCATCTTCCATATCCCAATACTCCATTTCTCTCCATTTTCCATTTTCGCATTTCCCATTTTCTTCGTTTTCCCCTTCGTCCTGTTTTCCCATTTCCCATTTTCCAAATCTCCA